TTTTGTCTCCTTACTCTCTGTCTCAGTTCTTGTTTGTTTTTTTTTTTACTCTCTATCTCAGTCATTGTTTGTCTCCTTACTCTCTGTCTCAGTCATTGTTTGTCTCCTTACTCTCTCAGTTCTTGTTTGTTTTTTTACTCTCTATCTCAGTCATTGTTTGTCTCCACTTACTCCCTGTCTCAGTCATTGTTTGTCTCCTTACTCTCTCAGTTCTTGTTTGTTTTTTTTTTTCTCTATCCCAGTCATTGTTTGTCTCCTTTGTCTCTGTCTCAGTCATTGTTTGTCTCCTTACTCTCTCAGTTCTTGTTTGTTTTTTTTACTCTATCTCAGTCATTGTTTGTCTCCTTACTCTCTGTCTCAGTCATTGTTTGTCTCCTTACTCTCTCAGTTCTTGTTTGTTTTTTTACTCTCTCTATCTCAGTCATTGTTTGTCTCCTTACTCTCTGTCTCAGTCATTGTTTGTCTCCTTACTCTCTCAGTTCTTGTTTGTTTTTTTACTCTCTATCTCAGTCATTGTTTGTCTCCTTAGTCTCTGTCTCAGTCATTGTTTGTCTCCTTACTCTCTCAGTTCTTGTTTGTTTTTTTTACTCTCTATCTCAGTCATTGTTTGTCTCCTTACTCCCTGTCTCAGTCATTGTTTGTCTCCTTACTCTCTCAGTTCTTGTTTGTTTTTTACTCTATCTCAGTCATTGTTTGTCACCTTGCTCCCTGTCTCAGTCATTGTTTGTCTCCTTACTCTCTCAGTTCTTGTTTGTTTTTTTACTCTCTATCCCAGTCATTGTTTGTCTCCTTGCTCTCTGTCTCAGTCATTGTTTGTCTCCTTACTCTCTCAGTTCTTGTTTGTTTTTTTTTATCTCTCACTCTCTATCCCAGTCATTGTTTGTCACCTTGCTCCCTGTCTCAGTCATTGTTTGTCTCCTTACTCTCTCAGTTCTTGTTTGTTTTTTTTACTCTCTATCTCAGTCATTGTTTGTCTCCTTACTCTCTGTCTCAGTCATTGTTTGTCTCCTTACTCTCTCAGTTCTTGTTTGTTTTTTTACTCTCTATCCCAGTCATTGTTTGTCACCTTGCTCCCTGTCTCAGTCATTGTTTGTCTCCTTACTCTCTCAGTTCTTGTTTGTTTTTTTACTCTCTATCTCAGTCATTGTTTGTCTCCTTACTCTCTGTCTCAGTCATTGTTTGTCTCCTTACTCTCTCAGTTCTTGTTTGTTTTTTTACTCTCTATCTCAGTCATTGTTTGTCTCTTACTCTCTGTCTCAGTCATTGTTTGTCTCCACTCTCTCAGTTCTTGTTTGTTTTTTTACTCTCTATCCCAGTCATTGTTTGTCTCCTTACTCTCTGTCTCAGTCATTGTTTGTCTCCTTACTCTCTCAGTTCTTGTTTGTTTTTTTACTCTCTATCTCAGTCATTGTTTGTCTCCTTACTCTCTGTCTCAGTCATTGTTTGTCTCCTTACTCTCTCAGTTCTTGTTTGTTTTTTTACTCTCTATCCCAGTCATTGTTTGTCTCCTTACTCTCTGTCTCAGTCATTGTTTGTCTCCTTACTCTCTCAGTTCTTGTTTGTTTTTTTACTCTCTATCCCAGTCATTGTTTGTCACCTTACTCCCTGTCTCAGTCATTGTTTGTCTCCTTACTCTCTCAGTTCTTGTTTGTTTTTTTACTCTCTATCCCAGTCATTGTTTGTCTCCTTACTCTCTGTCTCAGTCATTGTTTGTCACCTTACTCTCTCAGTTCTTGTTTGTTTTTTTACTCTCTATCCCAGTCATTGTTTGTCACCTTACTCCCTGTCTCAGTCATTGTTTGTCTCCTTACTCTCTCAGTTCTTGTTTGTTTTTTTACTCTCTATCCCAGTCATTGTTTGTCACCTTACTCCCTGTCTCAGTCATTGTTTGTCTCCTTACTCTCTCAGTTCTTGTTTGTTTTTTTACTCTCTATCCCAGTCATTGTTTGTCTCCTTACTCTCTGTCTCAGTCATTGTTTGTCACCTTACTCTCTCAGTTCTTGTTTGTTTTTTTACTCTCTATCCCAGTCATTGTTTGTCTCCTTACTCTCTGTCTCAGTCATTGTTTGTCACCTTACTCTCTCAGTTCTTGTTTGTTTTTTTTACTCTATCCCAGTCATTGTTTGTCTCCTTACTCTCTGTCTCAGTCATTGTTTGTCACCTTACTCTCTCAGTTCTTGTTTGTTTTTTTACTCTCTATCCCAGTCATTGTTTGTCACCTTACTCTCCATCTCAATTCCTTGTTTGTCACCTTACTCTCTATCTCAGTTCTTTGTCTACGTACTATATATCCTAGTCCTTGTTTTTCTCCTTACTAAATATCTTACTTGTTGTTTGTCTCCTTACTCTCTATTTTATTCTTTGTTTGTCACCTTGCTATCAATTTCACTCCATGTTTGTCTCTTTCCTATTTATCCCAGTCCTTGTTTGTTTTCTTACTATCAATCACAATCCTTTTTTTACTCATTACTATTCATCACAATCCTTGTTCATCTCCTAAGCATCGATCTGAATCTTTGTTTGTCCCCTTTACTATCATTACTTTTCTGCCGACTGCATATGTATTCTCGCTAAGTGACGTAATTAGATGTTTCATTCTGATCCTCTTCCCTTCATTAACGTCATGTGAGTGTCAAATTCTCCAAATCGACTTTCCGCGATAATTGTCAACTACATTTTTCGGATCCAATGTGTATGATTTTTCTTTCACATTTTCCTTTAAAAACCTCTTCGTTGCTAACATCCATGACAATCTTAACATTCATCCATGACAATCTTAACATTTGTAGAACGACGTCATTGTTGTCTCAAGATTATCCAATATTCGCTCCCATATAAGAGGATTATAAATAACCTCTTAGCATCGTACTGTAAAACCATCTTTCTGCTGCCTCTAATAACTTTAGCTGTGGGGAAATTGTCCAGAATTCACTGCCAAATAGTTGGCAATATTACATCCCAGTCCAACAACCATTTCTTCGTTACTAACGAATCTTTCCTATTTCTTAATACTTTGATTAGCTTTTAAAAGGCATCTTTCGCTATTCTATGATTGCGTCAGAGTTTATGTCATCTGTTCAAATATTTCCCATGGAGTTAAATTTATCTTTTCGTTTTCGACATCCGCAATCCATAGCTGACATCTTGGGCTGCCCAACTTGCTAACCACAAGTATTTTGGCTTCTTACAACACATAGACATTTCTTTCCGATTTGTTTTATTTCCTTGTCAAAAAGTGCTTACATTTTTTTTATTTATCAGCCATACTGAGTTAAGATTCTGCAAACGAATAATAAATCCTCGTACAACTTATATAAGTTTCATATGTATCTCTCTTTCCGGCTATGTAACAAGCAATTCTTGATTTCTCTAAATTCAAAACTTGATCTATCTATCTATCTATCTATCTATCTATCTATCTATCTATCTATCTATCTATCTCTGTAGTACAATGTTAATATCGCAATTCTTTCATATCTATCTATCTATCTATCTATCTATCTATCTATCTATCTATCTATCTATCTATCTATCTCATTCTGTTCATATCTATCTAGTACAATGTTCACATCACACTTCTTTTGCATCTATCTATCTATCTATCTATCTATCTATCTATCTATCTATCTATCGAAATCTGCTTCGCACCTATAATCTATTTTTTTAATTTAATTAGAAAAAAAATAACTAAAAATTAAAGACAAGTAGACAATAAATTAGTTAACTTGGTTAACAGAATTAAACGATTATATTTCCGAAACATGAAAGTTTTCGTGTAGCGATGTTAAAATGTTTTTATTGTAATGTATTATAATAAAAAAAAATTAATAATATTTTGCTCTATGTAGTATTGAGCACTTGTAAAAAAGTAAATGCTAAGAACACAGGATTCTAACCCCGTCCGTTTTTTTCGCTTTTTATATATATATATATATATATATATATATATATATATATATATATAATGGACCCTGCCGTGTGTTTCGACGTATGAGGATCAGAAAGCTTAATTGTCTCAGTCATGAAATTTTGTGCGATAATCTTAAGATCCGCTACTGAATTAAAAAGGAGGCCACATATGCTGCAAGAGTTAGCTTGGCTGACCTTTTAGATTATGCTCTCGACTCTTGAAGACAAGCAAATTGAAAACTGCTGGGTACCGTAAAACACGTTGATCTCCATTCTACCCGCTCAAAGGTGTTATGTGGCATATTGACAGCCGACAAGTTGCTTTTCAGCTTGTCTTTGTATCTTAGGAATAGGCGTCCTACATTACTGTAGCTCGGATCTGTGTTCATATATATATATATATATATATATATATATATATATATATATATACAGAGGATGCGAGTTATAAATTGTCGTCTGAATTAGGCAAAAAATGAAAATTACATTGATATTTCATTATATAAAATATTTTCTGTTTATGCGTTATTTACTTTTTAATAGATTTTAGACAGAAAATATATTGAATGATTATCGGGCTTTATCAATATCATAATATATATATATATATATATATATATATATATATATATAAATGGACCCTGAGGTCAACAGAATGCGGCGACAGTCTATTTCATGTTTCAGCGCAATATTCATTCAGGCCGTGTGTGATAATGTAATATAAATTAAACAAAATCAATATTTGATACTAAAAAAAACACGCACTCTCACACGCGTATCCGTATATATATATGTATAAGATATATATATATATATATATATATATATATATATATATATATATATATATATATATATCTATCTATCTATTTATCTATCTATCTATATATATATATATATATATATATATATATATATATATCGCCTCAGTATCCACATTTATTTATATTTACTTACACGCTAATTCTGATATTGAATGCTTTTACCTATAAATATAGCGTACCTTGAAACTATAAGTGTACAATTACCATGAAAGTATTTATAGAAAAGACATAACGCGGCAACCTTACAGCGGTGAGAAAGTGACTGTAGAAAGCCGATATATATATATATATATATATATATATATATATATATGAGTGGACATTGAATTATTCATTATTCATATATATATATATATATATATATATATATATATATATATATATATATATATAATGTCTAAATGACACCCAACCTCAACCTGGGTTTCGATCATGAAGTCTTTCCAGCCAAGTGGAAGAATGCATTTTAGACATTTCTTAAATAACTTTTGCTATTCATGTTCGATTTGTATTTCGTATTGAGCACTTTTTTGTTGTCTATACCTCTCTATATTCTCTCCGTGTATGTATACATATATATATATATATATATATATATATATATATATATATATGTTTGTATGTGTCGATGTCCTGTTGTGTCATACGCAGTTTATTAATTTTATCCGGAACTAATTTCATTCAAGTATAGATAATTTCTAATGCAGATAAAATTTTGACTGATTTTAGGCTCAGGCGTCAGATTTGGCTTTATCTTGAATTGTTTCTATAATTGAGGGCCTTTTTTTTATGTATTTACCTGAAAATAATGATTATATGCACCATATTTTCATAACAATATTGAGAATGAAATGGAATCCCCGTGAAGAAAGAAAGAAAGAAAGAAAGAAAGAAAGAAAGAAAGAAAGAAAGAAAGAAAGAAAGGATCAAAGAACGAATAAAAGAAAGAAAGTAGTAAAGGGGAGAAGCACAAGAAGGCCGGGAATAATAAGAAGTAGGAAGAGATATAAATTCAGTGAAGTAGGTGAAGAAAACAAGGAAGTATGAGAAGAAGGAGGAGGGAGATGAGGCGGAAAAGTGGGAGAGTGCGAAGGAGGAGGAAAAGGTGAGAAGTGAAAAAAAGGAGGGAGACGAGAAGAAGAAGAACAACAAGAAAGAGGAATAGGAAGCGGAAAAGTTGGAAATAACGGAGGAGGAGGAGGAGGAGGAGGAAGAGTCAAAAATATACGAATGTGGAGGTTGAGGTGGAAAAAAGAAAGAAAGATTGAGGTGAGGTGCGAAAACAGAAGGAATGAAGGAAGAGAAAAAAGAAGAAGAAGAAGATGAAAAAAGATGAGGAAGAGAAGAAGGTGATGCTGAAGGAGGAGGAAGTATCAGAAAGATGCAAACGTGGAAAAGGAGAAGAGAAAGAAAGAGGGTGATGATGTGAAGAAGTATGAACAAAAAATTTATAAATTAATTGATTTAAATATGTTTTTCCGCTACACAGATCTTACTGTTCTTTCTTTCTTTATATATATATATATATATATATATATATATATATATATATATATATATATATATATATATATATATTCAGGGCGCGTACGATATTTGAATACATATCTTCTTTTTTTTTGCTTATTGAAGCATTTTATTAAACTTTATATCATTTTTTTTCAGAAAATAATATGGAAAACCCTAAGTTTACTCAAGAAATGAAAAGACATGCTGTAATTAAAAGGCTCAACAGGGCCATTTAGATATATCTCGATTTTTAAATTCGTCTACAAAGTTCGTAATGCGTTAGGGATCAAACATGGAAACGTATCAAAGTGTACAATGCATTCCAAACATTCTGGTATCATCAGAAGTCACTAAATTTCCACAAGTTCAGCAAACTATTGGTGACAATCCCAGAAAATCTATGATGTCCTTGCGGAAGATTTACATGTGTCAGAAGGAAAAATCAGAAATATTTAACGCGAAGACATCAAATGTAAGTCTTACGTGGTGAGGAATAATCAAGTTATGTAAAAAAAAAACAGTAAGAGTTTGAAATACTGTTGAACTAGAGTCTGCCTATATTTCTGAGATGAGATATTATGTACAGTATTTACATTAATCGGACTATTGTCTTCATCTTTGTCGCCATATTTGTCACAACGTTTCGGCCGTTGTACGCTCCTGCCTTCTTCAGGTGGTTGGATTTTCGAACTGAACCCTTTATTTCGATCACTGGGGTAGACTGTTCTAGTTCCACGTTTGATGGATGTCAGTTATCAGTTATCTCCTGCTAACTTTCCCTCTGAAAGTTCTCCACTGCCTTAACCAGGTATTGAACTCACCTTCTTTTGGGTCTGTCCCTGGATCTAACCAACGCCTTTATCCACTGTGCCATGTGTCCTTGAGGACATCTGGGTATGAACTTCTGAGTATTATAAACCTAATTTCATGTAAATACTGTACTGTTAAACTAACTTAAATCTCCAATAGATGTGATTTCGTTTTTCTCAGACGAGAAAAAATTTGATCAAGATCAGAAATTGAACAGACAAAATGATAGTTATCTTCAGACCCTTCTGAAGTTCCAACAATTATGCACATTTTAGGAGTTGTCATCTAAGAAAGACATATGATTCCTCCACACTTCTTTCCAGAAGTCCAAAAGGTTAATTCTGCTGCCTACATTGAAATCCTGGAAAATATTGGTAAGCCCTGGGTAGACAGTGTATGCAATGGAAGGCCTTATGCATTTCAATATCACTCTGCACCATCACACAAG